CAGAGCCCCTTGAAGAGACAGCACTGACAACACAGCCCGTGACATCCAACTTCCCTGCAGGCTGCTGGCAGCTGCAGAGTGGATTGTGAAAGATGAAAGAGAGGAAGGTCCTCCTGTACTGCATAGGGAACTTTTAGGAGACCAAGTTTGAATTATGGTAGTGTACGTTTCAGTGAAGAACATGAAACCTAAGGCAGGAGATGGGATGATATGAAATAAAATAAAATAATGCAGCCCTGGAATTGCATGGGGAAAGCCAAGCATATACTTACTTTAGAAGTATTATTAAAAAGGCAAAGCTATAGCACTTGACACAACATGGGTTTTATGTCAGATGCCAGATGTTATGAAGTAATTTTCTAGATATATTCTACTGCTAGCTAGACTATGTACCATTGGTGAGTGCATATTGATGAAATTAATAGGTAAGGCCAGGCAGACCATGTAAGGAATAAGTAATAGGGACAGAACCATATGATAAGACGTGCATTTGCCATTTTAATCTTTAACCTTCACATTGTCCTTGTCCCTTGTTCAGTGTCCCTTCTCATATTCACTGCTCCCACTGTTTAATTGCTGTTGTTAATTTCTTCGTGGATTTCTGTATGGTCTGACACTGCCTGACTTGAGCTGATTGCACACACATTAGCTAAGCAGGAGTTTTCGAGATTTTTTTTCCTAAGGCTGCCATCATCTGCAAATCCTTCAAGATCTAAATTATAAAAGTTTGGCTGACCTCTGTAGGAAAACAACGTATTAGATCATTATAAAAAGAGCAAAAGGAAAATTGCAAGCTTAATTCCTGAGATTTGTAAACTAAAATCCACAAGGGCCTGGAGGCAGGCTTCCCTGAGCCCCTGAGCCAGCAGCCCTGCCCTGCCCTGCCCTGCTGAAAGCACTCCAAAGGGCCTGAAGAGCTGTGCCTCGAATTCCTTGAGCGGTCATCTTTTAACAGGGATGTCAGAGGTCTAAGAAAGCATTCCTGTGGCATTGGGATGCAAAGGGATTTATCTCACATCTGAAGTCCTGCAGAGAGGCAGCAATCCTGCTCCTATCTGAGAGGCCGACAAGTGAGTTACAGCTGAAGGAGATGTGACAGGCGGGAGAGAATAAGCAGAGAGAATGTCTGTGCTGGAGATGAATCAACCCTGTTCCTCAAGGAGCAACTGCCTTTGGCTACCCAGAGCTGAAAGCTACAGTAATAAATTTTAAGGCCTGAAAAGATCATTACAGTCATCCAGCCCAGCTGCCCACTCATCCAGGATGCTGAATTTCCTCAAGTCGTTCATGCCTGCCCCTCCTGCTGCCACAGCTGAGGTCCTTTCCTCCTCTGCTCTTGCTTGGAGGCCCTTCCCAGGATGTCACTGCCATCACTGCCTGCCGTGCCAGATGCCTGCCGTGCCCTCCCTGTGGCACCACCTCTGGGCAGCAAGAGCAGCTAGAGCAAATATTTTCCCTTTAGTGTTCCTGGCAAAGAGAGATTTTACATTCAGCTCTCTCCAGAGCTCATGCTCTGCATCAGAGCAGCAGCTTGGCCCACGCAGTTCCAGATCCATGCTCAAACATCTGTTATGGAAACTTCGGGCAACTGTGCAGGAGCCTTGATTCTGCAGCTCTCACTGCTGACCCAAACTGCAGATCTGGAGAGGGCTCTGCCTGGTTTGTGTCTTGGCTTTCCTTGAAACCACTGGGCCTCACATCAGTTGAAGCACCTACAGTCTGTGGAATAACAACATGCAGCTGCCTGAGGAGCAGGCAGGTAGAAGAAAAACTCCACTGGGAGAAGTTGGGTTTTCTGATTCTGGGTCTCTGCTGGCCTCCATGACCTTAGGAAGATGCCAGTGCTACATTGCAATGGAAGCATGTGGGCTGGGGAAAAAAACCTAGGATAGACTTTTCCTGAAATATCCTGCCCAGGTCACATCTCCATATTTATTGAGATGTGTCCCGTCCATGTGGAGCCCATGAATGGAAGAACAAGGTGAGCTCCCCATCTGCTCCTTGAGCTTATGTGGACAGAGCTCCAAAAGGTAGAGGAATGGTCGAGTTCACTGAATATTTCTCTTTCTGGAGGAGCAGGCCATGACTCAGCTGGGACTGCGAGGAAATGCCCTGCCTTGGGAAGGCTGTGATGCATCAAGAAACAGCTAAGCAAGCCCTCAGCAACCCTGGAAGGCATGCCCTGAGATAGGAGGGAAGGGGGGATGCAGGCAGGAATCTCTTAACATCATCTTGTGCTCCGCATCTGTCTCAGCCTGCTACAGCTGACATTAACAGGAAGCCCAAGCTCCACTCTTCAGTCATCTGGTGCAATCTGGGGGAAATGGGTGCAAGTGTACTCTTTTCCTGTCAGCTCCTTGGCAACTGAAGAGACAGTCACAGGCTGCCCTAAAAAGCAAATTCTAATTCCTAACATTGCATGTCATGGTTTTTATGTGCTGTGTAATTTACAGGCTGGACAAGCGAGGCCAGCAGAGCCCAGTCTGTGGCCAAGCCTGGCAGGGAATCCATCAGCCATGGAAATGCCAAAGTGGCAGGTTCACTTCATTAACCTGAGGCCCAGTGATTCTTGGGCACCCATAAGAAACTGGAAGAGAAGAGGCTGTTCCAGGGATGGGAAATGACCCTTTTGGATGGAGGTCTAAAACAGTGCCTGCACCAGCATTTGAGGGACCACACAGGCTTTGATCCCAAGTTCACATGTGCATCCTTCCATCAAGACAAATGGTGACCTTCACAGGAGCACAAGCATCCTTTCCTTTAGGAGTGACTTCAGTTCCCCAAAGCAGAGCATGTTGTGCCTACGTGGAGACATGACCATTTTCCTCTCCCTGGACCAGCTGCACCCAAAGCCAGAGGCTCTTCAGAAAGCTACTGAAATGTGAGCAAAAAGTCTTAGATGCAAGTCAAACCCTCCTTGAGTTTTCTGTCAAGTTTATTATCCTTCTCTGCTTGCAATTGCTGTTTTCCAAAATCCTTTCCTGCATTTCTCCCTTTCTCACTGTCTCATGAACATTTTTCTGGGCAGTTCACTAGCTGTCACCACCCTGCTAACTTTTGCCCATACTGAAAATTTCAATACTTTTGCAGCGCAATTTCTTTTTTGGCCTTAGGTGAGAATACAAGGACTTTCAGTCCCTTTGCCTCTTCATTCAGAAAAAACTCCTCTAGGTAAACAAGTCCTAAGCCTACGATGAGGAAGGTCCTCAGTTGTAGAAGTTGTTGAATGGTAATCACCATTTTCTGATGCTGTAAAACAAGAGTTAATCTATGTTTCCACTGCGGAGGGCTGTTTGGGGCTTTTTTTTTTTTTTAAGGAAGGGAAAAAATTTCCTTTCATTCTTTGCCAGCAATTTCCATGCAAATAAAGTTTCCCAGCAAAAAACTCGGTGCCCAAGAGAGAATATTTTATCCAGAAAGTGAAAGATTTTCTGTGAACAATTGCAAGATTTTATCCAAAACTCTGAGAGGCTCATCCGAAATATTTCTCTCGTTGGCTGGAAACAAAGCGCTGCGGAGCGAGAGGGGACGGAGGGTGGAGGGTTCGCGCGGAGGGTTCAGCCGGTGGGGACAGTCCCGCGCAGGAGCGGGGCAGGGC